GAGAGAGAGAGAGAGAGAGAGAGAGAGAGAGAGAGAGAGAGAGAGAGAGAGAGAGAGAGAGAGAGAGAGAGAGAGAGAGAGAGTTTGCGAGGGAAAAGACGAGTTCGGGAAAGCAGGTTTGGGTAAGAGAGCTGGTCCAAACCACGAGTGCAACCCCCCTCTTTCCCAGACTTGCAGCCGTGCACAGGGAGGCCATGCTTCGATGAAGTGGCTGCCTGCGGCCAGCTAGGTACGCACTCGGAGGGATAGCAGCTCGGTTGCACTGCTGCTGGTGGATGAAGGGACTATTATCACTTTTCTCAGTTTCTGAGTATTTCCATGCATAGCCAAGAAGTTCAGGTGAGAAAAAAGGAAAAAAAAAGGAAAAAAGAAACAGAAGTGACTTCAAAAATATAAATCAAAAAAGAAAAAAAAAATCACCTTAGTTTCCGTTTTTTTGCTGATCCGTTGATCGTCCCTGCCGATTGGCGCAGTGCCCTCTGATGATTGTCGATGAAGTTTCTTCTTCGCCTTGGCAGTCTCAGTTTTCTGGGTATCACTGTTCACACCACCTCCATCCTTAGGAGAAGACAGCAGCACTCCTCCTCCTCCTCCTCCTGCTGCTGCTGCTCCTGCTCCTGCTCCTCCTCCTGGTGTCTCCTTCCTCTCTCCCCTGACCATACCACCAACGACCATCTCCACAGGTTCGGGGTCAGTTCGGAATCCCTTATTCTTTTCCTTCACGAGCTTGCGGACAGCCGCATGCTCATCTGTCCCCTGTGCCGCTCGCAACTGATCAGTCGAGTGAGATTTCCACGTCGATACGTGAATAATGTTGGCCGTGCCCGGGATTCGAGAGCCAGAGCTACCTCCTCCCATGCTGACGACAACAGCCGAGGCGTCTTGCACAACGCGCCTCTTTGATGCAGGGCTTGTGGTGTCGAGGCCAGGGCCTCCGATTTCAGACAGTTTCTGCGGCTCTGACATCGCCCCCAGCTCGGACATTCCCCCCCCTTTGTCAGCGCCGATCGGGCTGACCAGAGGCTCAGCCACTTCCTCCAAGTGATGCTTCGAAAGGAACACAGTCTGGTGTTCTAGCACGCCCGCCAAGATTTCCAGGCAGCGCCACCCATCCTCATTCTCAAAGGGCCTCCCTGCACAGGCACCACGTTATGGTCGTGCAGATGGAAAAGCAGGGGTCAGGGATGAAGGTGGTTTGGGGGGCAGGGAGAGGGAGGGAGGGGGTGTGCGGCGGGTGAAAAAGAACAGATAACGCATGGAAGGGTGTAGCAAACACAGTGGCATGGCATCGGGGGTCAAGTTCCGCTTACCCGAATTCTTGATTTGGGACCATTGATTCTGAAGATCAATGTTCAGAAATGAAGAATCTGGTAAAGTGGGACTCAGGCCCAGGACAGTATGTATAGCTAGTAACTACAGCTGAGTCCTTCAGGACATCCGTTAAAATTGGAACAATACAAAGAATATTAGGATGTTCGGACAGGGTTAACCACATAGGCTGTGCACTATGCATGTGTTTAGATAAGCCTAGTTTAGATGTTTGGACAGGGCTGACTGATAGGCTGTGCAATGGACATTGTGTTTTGGGTTCGATCTCGAGCGCTTTCGGCCTTGGGACTTTGGGACTTTGCAGTATCGATGAATGCTGGACAATTATAGGAGTCGGGGAATCGAACCCTTGTGACTTTTTTTGGGTGCTATTAGGATTGACCTTCGGTACCCTCCCTGACCGGGCTAGAACCTGAATACGATTTTTCCATATTGTTTTTCTCTATTTGCCAGTGTTGCACACCCCGACAGTCAGTGGCCCTTGACTGATCGGCTGCCGGCCCGCCGACTGGTCAGCCGGTCGGCACCTACCAGTAGCGGGTCATTGGCACCCCGCAAAAAAAAAAAGAAAAACAAAAAAGGGTCCAGAACCCCTAATAACACCACCAACACCCCCATAGCAACCCCCAATACCCCCA